GCTTCACAACAGAACTGCTACAATGTAACATGAGAATCATCCAAGTGCTACTAACAGAACTGCTACAATGTATCATGAGAATCACCCAAGCTTCACTAACAGAACTGCTACAATGTATCATGAGAATCATCCAAGCTTCACTAACAGAACTGCTACAATGTAACATGAGAATCATCCAAGCTTCACTAACACAACTGCTACAATGTAACATGAGAATCATCCAAGCTTCACTAACACAACTGCTACAATGTAACATGAGAATCACCCAAGCTTCACTAACACAACTGCTACAATGTATCGTGAGAATCATCCAAGCTTCACTAACACAACTGCTACAATGTATCGTGAGAATCATCCAAGCTTCACTAACACAACTGCTACAATGTAACATGAGAATCATCCAAGCTTCACTAACAGAACTGCTACAATGTAACATGAAAATCATCCAAGCTTCACTAACACAATCACTGCTGTATGGCATAAGAACAATTTATGTAATAAACAAGTATTAACACAGAAAATTTACTAGATCAATATTTGATTTTTTTTAACAGATCTTACATGGGTAACACAGAGAAATCAAACTCCTGTCCATCAGCAAGGAAAACATGACAATCACTGTAGCAGCTCTCTGAATTTTCTGATCTAAGTCCAGGGCCACAACGTTTACAGGACTTCCTTCCATATGGTAATGGGTCTGACACGTAGGTATTTGGGGGGCACGGAGAACATTCCAGTGTGTCTCTGCTTTTGATATAATGACCTGGTGGACAAGGAATACATCTACAAAAAAAAAAAAAGTATACATTGAATAGAGCCAGAAGAAAAGTTCAATGTGATCATATACAATAACTAAAAATAATTTATTAGAGTTTTATATATATAGAAATAGTCAGTACTGTTCTTGGTGTAAGAGCACAATATAATGCAGTATGATTGACATCTCAGGATAACATATGGAACCTTTTAAATGTTATTTCATATGACAATAAATCATTATATTTGTGCAATATATGTGATTTTTTTTACAAGTATATATATATATATATATTAGTAATGTTTTATTTTATTTTATATTCACAATTATAATTTCATTATAATGATTACTTGCATTGTTTTAAATACAATTAATAAAACAATATATCAATGTTTTTTTACTTACACAATAATTTATTTGTAAAAGTTTAAAAAATACAAGTTAAAAGAAACTTTAAAAACTCTACATGTTTCGGTGGAAATAATTCCACCATTTTCAGGAGAATAAATCATGAAGTGCACGTGAAGTTTCTTATAAACCTAACGTACGTGTATAATTAGCATGTTTTTACAGTGGCACCATTTACAACAACGATTTCCATAAGTTTACTTCCGTAACTCCTGGGCCTAAATCTCTATTTATATTCATTTTGTTTTTACGTATTGAGATTTGCATTGTTAGCTTAGATTTTGTGTTCAGAACTAACCCAAGTTTCTTGAGTTGGCTGAAGACATTATTGGGTTTACAGCTAACAGAACGGGTACATACCCAACTGACAAAATAATTCATCCTAATCTTTATGAGTAGTTAACTAGCTATACTAATGGCCAAGTTGAATTTATATTCAAAGCTTACTCTCATCAGAAATTATCATTATTAAGAAGGCTTATTTAGGGACTAGACAAGTTCTGAATTCAAGAAAACACTGAAACTATGAATATATGTATAAAACCATTATACATACGTCTCTGTAGTATGAATTAGTGATTATAAAGTTAAGAAAAATTAATAAGAACAACTTCACTAATTGGTATGTTGCAAAATTTTAAATACTGTTGAGATGTTATTTTTAATGCTGTAGTCAACTCTTTCAGGGTCAAATTATTTTTTATATATCAAAGTTTGAAGAATAGGTAATGAAGAAAACTCTATTACAAGTTTAACATAGAAACAAATGTTTCAACACAATTTTGTCATCATCATCAGGTACACAGTCTTGTATTTTGTATCACACTCTCTTCAGGTTATATTCACAAGGGTATTCAAACATCACTCGAGTTAAACCACACATCTAAGAGAAAAAACATTTTTAATGAAAAACTTCTCATTCATGATGTGTTTGTTTGTTTGAAGGTAGGCATAGAGCAACAAAATGGGCTATCTGTGCTCTGCCCACCACGGGTATCGAAACCCAGTTTCATGATGTTTGTTTTTGTTCAATCCAATACTATAGAGTATTTTAACAATTTCTTCAGTCTATCATTGTAAAATAAAGTTTGCCTCTGAAGAAGAAAGGTCCAGCTTTCGAAAGTGGTCGGGTTATAGGGTTTTTATTCATTTCTGATATTAAAATAAAGTATATTAACCTTTCTTATTTATTATGATGGTCAAATTTAATCAAAATGGAGTCAATCAGTCCATGCTTTTCAACACAATCTTGACCAAAGTTTGTTGAAATATAAATACTTTCTGTAAAAAGTTACAAAAATGCATTCACAAAAACCAGTTCCATACTAATCTTATACATTATAGGGGGAAAACAGAATGTACTGTTCCAACCTGATTTAGAATACATACCCAGTTGCTTCAGTACCTTCAGGACAAGGAAGGCACTCCGCAGCCCCACCACTTTTGCTGTTAGTAACTGATATGTCGTAGATTAGGGCCTTGTCGTCTACTTTATGTATCGTATCAGTATCTTTCCACAAGCTGTCACTCCCATACTTCTGAAATGCCCAACTAAAGGTGTAAGGGCCATCTTGTGTCACTTTATAACTAGAAAAATAAACCCAAGTGAAAATACAGTCAGCAAAACATTTACACATGACTTATCCAGCACAAATATTATATTGATCATGTAGATTGTTTCTTTCACAGATAGAATAAGTGGTAAACATTTCTTATTTATATATGTAAACATAAATTTCAGATTACGTGTGTCAATACAGAAGCCAAAAGTCTACATATACAAACATCGTTTCATACCTATAAATATAGAAGACAAAAGTCTATCTATACAAACAATTTTAGAACCATTCCTACAGAAACTAAAAGTCTACATATACAAACATCATTTTATACCTATAAATATAGAAGACAAAAGTCTATCTATACAAACAATTTTAGAACCATTACTACAGAAACTAAAAGTCTACATATACAAACATCATTTTATACCTATAAATATAGAAGACAAAAGTCTATCTATACAAACAATTTTAGAACCATTACTACAGAAACTAAAAGTCTACATATACAAACATCATTTTATACCTATAAATATAGAAGACAAAAGTCTATCTATACAAACAATTTTAGAACCATTACTACAGAAACTAAAACTCTACCTATACAAATATAATTTTTAGAACCATTACTACAGAAACTAAAAGTCTACCTATACAAATATAATTTTTAGAACCATTAATACAGAAACTAAAAGTCTACCTAAACAAATATAATTTTTAGAACCAGTACTACAGAAACTAAAAGTCTACCTAAACAGATATAATTTTTAGAACCATTACTACAGAAACTAAAAGACTACCTAAACAAATATAATTCTACCTAAGATATATCATATTTATACATGCATCATAGATTTAGACAATTAAGTTTCACGTTACTGATACTTTCATTAAAATAGCCAAGATAAATGTAATACAAACCAAAAAAAAAAGGTACTAAACATATTATGAGGTATGTCTAACACAAGAAATTCAACTTTGACTGTCCTCTGTTACTTTACGACACATGTGGAGCTTGAATGTATAAATAAGAGTAGTGTTCAGGAAAACTCATAAGGATAACAAGGCTTAAGAAAAGAAGTAAGAGCAATGTAACAGTTCAAATAATTAACAGAAACTAATTCAACTAAGCTAATGGCATTATTCAGAATAAATTAAGTATAGTAGGAGCTTAAACAAACATAATAACTAATGATTGCCACTATAGAAACAGGTGTGGGGGATAAGTTGGCTAACTGGATAGAAGAGTGGCTGGATGGAAGAAAGCAGAAGGTTGTTACAAATGGAGTTCAGTCAAACTGGATTAATGTCACAAGTGGGGTACCTCAGGGCTCAGTCTTAGTACCTTTGCTCTTTTTGATTTACATCAATGACATAGATGAAGGAATAGTCAATAAGTTACTTAAATTTGCTGATGATATTAAGGTCTTGGATGCTGCTGATTTACAAAAGAATTTGGATCATTTAATGAGTTAAACAAATAAATGGTAGATGGACTTTAATTATAATAAATACAAGATAATGCATGTGGGTTATCATAATTTGAATTATAAGTATAAGTTAGATGGGAATAACCTTAACAGTGTTATGAAGGAAAGGGCTCTTTGTGTAATGGTTGATCAGTATCTTAAGCCATCCAAGAGTGTGCCGTTGCTAGTAGTAGGGCAAATAGGATTTTAGGTTGCATCTACAGAAATATTGAATACAAGTCTAAAGAGGTTATAATTTCATTGTACAGGTCAGTGGTTAGGCCACATTTGGAGTAGTGTGTTCAGTCTTGGGCTCCTTACCTTACGAAGGACATTGAATTGTCGGAAAGGGTTCAAAGGAAAGCTACTAGAATGATACCTAACAGAGTGGTTGGCCTTCTGAATGAGTTGCCTTTGGATGTTGTGAAGGCAGTAAATGTAAGTGAATTTAAGAGAAAGCTTGATAAGTATATGAAATATAAGAGCTGGCTTTGAGGTTTTTCTAATAGCTTTAGTTTAGTTTAGAGGATGGGATAGTCTAGATGGACCAATAGGTATGTTATTATCTCTAAATATTATGTTATACTACAGTCTAGATGGACCAATAGGTCCGTTATTATCCCTAAATATTATGTTATGTTATACTACAGTCTAGATGGACCAATAGGTCCGTTATTATCCCTAAATATTATGTTATGTTATACTACAGTCTAGATGGACCAATAGGTCCGTTATTATCTCTAAATATTATGTTATGTTATACTACAGTGATTTATTACTATCTTAAAAAATTAGTTATGAAAAGTTTTTGTTCAACAAATATGATAAAAGAACTCAATGTATCTTTCACTGATAAGCTTGCTCTAAAGTACTGTAAAAACAACACTTTAGGTGTTATCTATGTACCTATCCTTACCTATAATGTTGTTTCTTCTGTGACTCTACATATTTGTCTCTTACCTATAAT